CCAATCGGGACGACGGTATCGACCTGCCAAATGGCGAGAGGGCCATCTCACTAAATGGGAAGGTGGTCTCGCCATTAGCAAGTGGCGAGATGACGGTCTCGCCAAACGAGACGGCGGTCTCGCCCTTTGTTGATGGCGAGACGGGGACTCAACCTTCTAGGTGGAAATCCTTATTTTTTTCTGTACAAAAAACCTTCCTACTCTAATATGGGGCCTATTGGTCTATCCTAAGGACCTTTTAGGCCTTGCCCATCTTCGAATCAGAGGTCTTTTGTTTTTTATTTTGAGGCCGGACAAGATTTGGGGTCTACAGGATCTACTAGGTTGAATGTTGAGTCTTTTAGTAGTTACCTCAGTATATTAGCTCGTGGGAAGATTTCTATCTTAGTGCCATCTTGGGATCATGTTATTGAGGCTGAGAGAAACATTATTTAGGAAGATATCTTGGTAAATAGTTTAATATATACTAATTTAGATTGATAAATTATTTTCTTTTGCAGGATTGATAACTTAAAGAAAATATAAAAAAAAAACAAATTCAGATTTCATTAGCTGAGCACACAAAAATCGTTTAACACTTCTAGAAAACACAACCACTTAATGGATGTGAAACCGCTGAACAAAATTGGACCCGAGAGCTCTTCATCTAAAAATTAGCAATGTACTCAGCGCTTTATCATCCGTTGAGCTTAATTCTTCCAGAGAGCTCATGTAACTAATTTAATTGCTAATCTGCTGACCGGATGGGAAACTGCTGAGTATATGAATCGAATATCAGTTTTTGCATAATGTTGTATTAAGTTCTATTTTGTATTTATGCGCTTGAACGCTTCATATACCTTTGTTATTGTATAAATAGGCATTTGAAGGTGTAAAAGCATAAGTTAAGTTTGAATCATAATACATTCATAAGATTCTCTCTAGTTTAGTTCTGAAGTTCTTAGTTTTCAATAGTGATGCTTAGCTTCTAAGTTTATTCATGGAGTTTCTTTTACGAATAATGGAGTAGTTTATCAATTCAAGTTCTCCTTGATAAGATTTGTTTCCTTTTCTCTTAATTCTTTGTTTTACTTTCTATTTCATCTTCTTCTTCATTTTCCATTCATTCTTTTACTGTTTATGAATTTTTCAATTGATCATAATGTTCTAATTCACTTTTTTTGTTGATTCACCGATCTTATTTTCTATGGTTTATATTTGATTCTTAATGATTCTAACCGATTATAATCCATTACAAACACTGTGAATGAGGTTATTTGATTTAATATCTCTTTTACATCACAATTCAACTTCTAGGTTTTAGTGATTGGTTGATTTAGAAATTGAGTTGTGAATATGAATTTCAATTGAATGTTAATTGATTGAAACTATTGTGGAGTTGTTATTATGATTGCAAAACAATTCCATAGAAATCAATGATAATCATCAAAACAAGTTTATGATTGAAGAATCAACACAATTTCTCACTGTTATTCATCAACTTTTACTTTGATTCTATTTTACTTCTAAACTTAGTTTACAATGTTTCATAGCATTTAAAGCTTACTTACATTAGATTTAAATTTTTTCAATAATTGCTTTCCTTTAATTCTTTCTTTAGTTGCTTTCATAGAATACGTTTACTGTTTTCAATTTCTAAAATCATAAAAATCCCCCTATCTTTTTGCTTTTGACTTAGAAAATCAAGATTTAAAACAAAACCAAGTAATTCTCCTAAGGATTTGACCTAGGCCAAGTCCTAGTATTGCATTAATTTAATTGCAAATTGTTTGATGAAATCTAGGCGATAAGATTAACTTAATCAAAATTGCACCATTGCTGGGGAGCAATATGTGATAGTTCTAATTTAAAATCTCAATTTTCTATTGTCAAAGGTTAGTGTACATATTTGTTTTTAGTTTTTGTTGAGTTGTTTGTTGTTTGTTTGAGTAAAACATCTTGAAAAACCTTATAATTTCTTTTTTGTTCTGTGAAATTTTCTTTGCGATTTATTATCTACTCAGCGATTTTGTTCTTTTTGTTTGACTGCTTTTTCGCTATCCAAAATCCACTCAGCGGTTAACCATCCACTCAATGATTTTGAGGCAGTAGCTTATGTGTTTTGAATCTATTTGTGTTTTGCTCAGCGGTTTGTCATCCGTTGAGTGCTTTTTGTCCAGTCTTTAAATTTCTTTTTTTATTTCTATTAAATAAGCTCAGCGGTTTGAGATTTTCTCAGCGGATTTGTCATGTTTTTGAGTTCAATTGGTCACTAGAATGAATCCGCTTAGTGGATTAGCTCAAGTAAGTTGTGTTTTCTGTATTTTTTAGCTTATGTTTGTTTTTTTTTGTGTTCTTTTGGTTTTTGAATTGAATGCTTCCATCCTATTGTGTTCAAAACTTTCATTTGATCCAGAAATTGAAACAACTTTGAAAGAACTAAAAAATAAAAAATGGAATGTATCATCTACATCAACTGAAATGGCTCAAAATAAAATATATGAGAGAACTCTAAGAGAGTTGGCTGCACCAGATATTTCCTATCATAACATATGCATACAATTTGGTGATGATGATAAGGATGTGCCATTTGTGCTTAAGACTAGTTTAATTTAATTGTTGCCAAGATTTTGCGGACTTGCAGGTGAGGATCCACACAAACACCTAAAGGATTCCATACTATTTGTTCTACAATGAGACCCCAAGGTGTTAGTGAGGATCATGTTAAGCTGAAAGCATTCTCATTCTCACTGCATTGAATCTGCAAAGGAATGACTGTACTAGTTACCTCCTGGTTCAATCATAAGTTGGGAGAGATTGAAGAGGTTATTTTCGGAGAAATATTCCAGCCTCAAGAGCTACTTCAATTAGGAAAGATATTTGTGGTATAAGACAGCTAGATAGAGAGAGTTTATTTGATTAATGGAAAGATTGGAACGATTATGTTCAAGTCCCCCCCACCAAATTAGTGAGCAACTTCTTATCTAATACTTCTATGAAGGGCTTACAATTATAGATAGAAGCATGATTGATGTAGCAAGTGGTGGAGCTCTTGTTAACAAAAATCCCACAGTGACAAGACAACTAATGGAAACTATGGCCACTAACTCTCAACAATTTTCCATTAGAGGCAACATAACTGTGAGAAGTGTTTATGAAGTTCAAATTGGATATTCTATGGGACACCAATAGCTGGAGAATAAATTGGACAACCTTGCATCCATGGTAAAACAATTGGAACAAAATTAGCAACAAATAAATATTTTTGCACACACACAAGCACCTATGTAACAAAAATTTCCATTTGTTGGTGCTTTGTGTGGATCATGCACTTCAAGTCAGGATGCTGCACATGAATGTTCTCAAATCTCAAGCATGGCTATTGAAGATCCACATATGTGTACTATTTTTCAAAAGTTTCCCTCTAATTCTAATGTTGATTTGAGCACAAATAGATACAATCCCTCTTAGAGGAACCATCCCAATCTAAAATGGGGAAATCAAACCAATGTGATACAACCACCACCTATGCAACAACAAAATATGTATATGCAGCCTAATTATTATCCTTCACATCATAGTTATCCACCTCCATCCCAACCTCCATATTATCCATAACAAAACATGCATCCATCAAAATCACAAGTCCATCAACCATATAAACTTTAAAAACCAGAAAAATATGCAGCAGTTTGGACAAGCTCCACAAGCTCAACCCTCCAGCAGTGAGGATCAACAATCTTTGGAGGAGTTGATGAGGCAATTAACCATGAACTAATTTCAATTTCAACAATGGACTGAGGCAAGTATAAAATCCCTGGAAAATAAAGTTGGACAATTTGTCACAACCATGAATCAACAACAATCAAGGTTAGTAGATGGTTTGCCTTCTCAAACTGTTGTAAATCCAAAAAATGTGAGTGTCATGACTCTAAGAACAGGAAAAGTGCTTGCTAGACCTGTAATTAATGAAACCTGACAAAGAAGACAAAAAAAGGAGGATGTTTGTCATGTTGTGGAATAAATAGAAAAATGGAGAAAAATGTAGCAAAAAATGCAGCAAAAGGTTCCACAATTTTAGCAGAAACTTGCACGAGTACTGATGCTGGTTTTGTGGTTGGAAACAATCCAAATGAAGCTAAAAATTGAAGAAGCAAGTGCTAGAATTTGTGTTGAGCAACTAAAGCATAAAGTAGCAGACCAAAGCAGCAATTCAAAAGCCTACAATGCAACAAAAACAACCACTGCAGTCCAAACCAGTATTGATGCTGGTAGCCACGAAATTCAAGTCCCATTCCTTCTATCTAGAGGCATTTCAAAGATGAAAAAGAATGAGGAGTTGGACAGTGAGCTGTTGCAAGTGCCAAAATATGCTAAATTTCTGAAATATTTGTGCATAAAAAAGGCTCAAAAGCAATGAGAAGATCAATCTAGGGAGGAACATTTTTGCATTGTTTACTGCACCTAATGTATATTAATTCCTGAAAAATGTAAAGATTTGGGTGTATTTACCATTCCATGTATTATAGGTAATAAGAGGTTCGAGCATCCAATGTTAGTGTTAGAAGCCTAATTAATGTTATGCCTTTGGTTATGTATTCATCATTATGCCTTGGATCTATGCAACCTACTGGTGTGGTGATACAGTTGGGAAATAGAAGCACAATTCAACCAACTGGTCTACTTAAGGATGTCTTGGTGAAGGTTAACAATCTAGTGTTTTTAGCATATTTTTACGTCTTGGACATGGAAGATAAGTTTTCCAATAACTCTGAACTTGATTCACCTCCTCTTATTTTGGGAAGATCATGCTTGAAAAATGCACACACCAAGATTGATGTTTATGCTGGTACATTAACAATGGAGTTTGGTGAGACATTAATTAAGTTTAATATCCTAAATGCATTAAAATGTCCATGTGAAGACCATTCTGTGTTTAGGATTGATATTATTGATGAATTGATTGCTGAGTATCTCTAAAAACTTCTTAATTATGATGATGGAACTGTGTTTGATGAAAGAAATTTTGAAAATCATATTAACTATGCTGAAACCACTGAGCAGAAGCTGAATCCGCTTAACAGATTGACTCTAGTGGCGAATTTTTATGAAATCGTTGAGCGGGAGCTGAATCCACTAAATAGGTTGATTTATTTCAATGAAACAAGTGAGTGGGAGCTGAATCCGCTCAATGGATTAATTTATTATGTGGGTGCTGAGCGGATTGATCAATTGCTGAGCGGATTTTCCCTAGTGAAGAAATCTCAGCTTGATGAATCCGCTGAGTGGATGGGTAATCTGCTATGCGGATTAGGGCTAGTGGAGAAAAAATTTGAAAAAAAAAAGAAAAAAAATTCATAAAATGTTTGTGTTTTTAGAAAATCCAGAGCCTAAAATTATTAATTCTTCTATTTCTAATTTAAAGCCTTTAGTTTCTAATTTAAAATATGCATTTTGGGTGACAATAATTATTTTCCTATTATGATTTCTAATTTGTGAAATAATGAGCAAGAAAATAAATTAATTTCTGTAATTAAGAAAAATAACAAAAGCAATTGGTTGGACTCTTGATGATATTCTAGGAATTAGTCCTAGTTTATGTATGCATAAAATTTTATTCGATGATAATGTTAAGCCTGTTAGATAACCTCAAAGGAGGGTAAATCCACAAATTTTTGATGTAATTAAAAAATAGGTAACTAAATTATTACAAGCAGGTAATTTATCCTATTTCTGATAGTGAGTGGATTAGTTCTGTACATGTTGTTCCTAAAAAATCTGGTTTAACTATTATTAAAAATGAAAAAGGTGATTTAATTCCCCAAAAAGTTCAAAATAGTTGGAGAGTATGTATTAATTATAGGAAACCTGATTTAGCTACTAGAAAAGACCAATTCCCTCTTCCTTTTATTGATCAAATGCTTGAAAGATTAGAATCTAAATCTCGTTATTATTTTCCTAATAGTTTTTCTAGTTATTTTTAAATATGTATTGCACCTGAAGATCAAGTTAAAACTACTTTTACTTGCCTTTTGGTACTTTTGCTTATAGAAGAATGTCTTTTGGATTATGTAATGCTCCTAGTACTTTTCAAAGATGTATGTTTAGTATTTTTTCTTATTTATTGGAGCAATGTATTGAAGTGTTTATAGATGATTTTTCTGTTTATGGAGATTCTTTTGATGATTGTCTTGTTAATTTAAATAAAGTATTAAATAAATGTGTTGAAAATAATTTAGTTTTGAATTATGAAAAATATCATTTTTAGTAGAACAAGGTATTATACTAGGTCATGTTATATCTGCAAATGGAATTCAAGTTGATCCTGCTAAATTAAATGTTATGTCTAACCTATCTTATCCATCTTCCATTAAGGAGGTGAGATCTTTTCTTGGACATGCCAATTTTTATAGATGATTTATTAAAGATTTTAGTAAAATTGCTCTTCCCTTAACTTCATTATTTCATAAAGATATTTTATTTAATTTTGATGATAAGTGTAAAAATTCATTTGATTATTTGAAAAAAGTATTAACCATTACACCTATAATTAAACCGCCTAATTGGGATCTTCCTTTTGAAATTATGTGTGATGCATATAGTTATGCTTTAGGAGAAATTTTAGGTTAAAGAATTGATAAAACTCCTTATTTGATTTATTATGCTTCAAAAACTTTAGATTATACTTAAATAAATTATACTACTACTTGAAAAAATAACTTTTAGCTATTGTATTTGCTTTGGATAAATTTAGATCTTATTTGTTAGGTTCTAAGGTCATTGTTTATACTTGATCATGATGCACTTATTTATTGAAAAAGAATTATTCTAAACCTAGATTAATTAGATGGATGCTTTTATTACAAGAATTTGATTTAACTATTCAAGATATAAGTGGTTTCCAAAATCTTGTTATAGATCATTTAAGTAGAATTCAGAATAATTTAGAGGATTATATTATTTGTGATTCTTTTCCTGATGAGAACCTTTATAGTATTAATTTAAATTATAGACCTTGGTTTGCAGATATTGTAAATTATATTGTTGGTTCTATTTTTCCTTCTCATTTTTTCAAGAGCTTAATGTGATAAGTTAAAGACGATGGTAAGTATTTTATTTGGGATGATCCTTATTTATGGAAATTTTGCAATGATAAAATTATTAGAAGATGTATTCCTGATGACGAAATTAATTTTGTTTTAAGTTTTTATCATTATTCCCGTGTTGGTGGGCATTTAGGCCCTTAAAAGACTACTAAGAAAATTCTTGATGTAGGTTTTTATTGGCCCATTGTCACCGCCGTCAAAAGAAGCAGTCAGAGTGATGCAATGGTTTTGATTGACTCAAGTGGTTCTGTTAACCATATAAGGATATGAAGCTTGTAGATTTTGATGATGATTCAAGAACAAAGGACTTAGAGATTTGAAGACTCGTAATCTTATGTAATAACTCTGTTTTTATGTTTTTGAGTCTGTAATATTAGAGTCCAAGATAGCCAACACATAGACCATCCTTTAAAACCTCTAAAAACTCATTTTTATCAAAATACACTGTGATAATCGATTATCACCCTGGATAATCGATTATTACAGCAAGAAAATTGTTTTCAGGAATATCTCACTATGGTAATCGATTATCACTTAGGATAATCGATTATCACAGGCAAATAATCGATTATTTGGCCAGATAATTGATTATCCTGGTCCAGTTTTGTTCCTCTGCGAAAATGGCTCTGGAATAGTCGATTATCACTCAGGATAATCGATTATTTATGTCTGTTATGTGTTTTGAAATTCAAATTTGGACAAATTTACGAAAACCCTATTCCCAATTCTTCTATTTTTGAAAATCACCATTTCCCATACCCTATTCTCTCTACTTAAGGTTCTCTAAGACTCTCTGTAATTGAACAAACCTTTTTCTTACAAAAGTTAAGAGCTGTGACTGCGAAAACTTTCTGTAGGGAAGAAAAAGGGGCTTTTGAAAACCTAGTGTGGGCTAGAAGCGATAAGAATCACTAAGTGGGTTTCTGGGTGGATTGTGTGCTGTGTCATCTCTAGGAAAAGTTGTTCTTCATCCTTTGTGGATTAAAGGAGGTGTTCATCTCTTGTGTGACTCAAGAGAGGTGTTTTCTATTCCTTATCTTTTCGATTTGTAATCTATTTGTAAACTGTGATTATAGTGACAGTGTTAATCCTCTTTTTGAGTGATTAGCAAATGGACATAGGGTCTGTTGATTTTAACTAGTATAAATCAACTGTGTAATCCTCTTTCCCTTATCTATTTACTTTACAACACATTTTAATCGGTGAAATTTGGGAAAAATTTTAAAACCCTAATTTTTGTTTAAGAAACCAATTCACCCCCCTCTTGGTTTTTGTCTGTAAACGCAAACATTCCGCTGCGCGATTCTAACAGGTTTAACGCCTTTAGGTTGTCTGATAACCGGGCTGGACCTAAAGGCGAGGTTTTTGAAAAGGTTCGAGGAGTCGCCATCAGTGTTTTAACCTTAAACACTGAAAAAGGTGAAAAAAGAAGAAGGCAGTGGTTTTAGAAAAAAACCAACTTTGGCCATTACAACCAGAGTCGGGTAAGGGAGTTAGTTACGTGTGGGGAAGGTGTTAGCACCCCACAATGCCCCTTTCGGGTTCCCTATGAAGGACTAGTTTAGAAAATAAATACTTAAAGAAATTATGCTTTTACCCTATTATTCTATCTACATGTAGAATTTAAATGTCTATATGGCCCTATTATCTAATGCACACAAAGAAAGCGATAAAAAAAGCAGTAAAAGAGAGAGAGAATAAGGAAGGAACCTTCGAAGTAAGCTTTATATTAACCCTTTTAAACTTGAGGATGCTTTTTGGCAGTCCCCGCACTCTACAGGCACCCTACTCCCGCAAAATAAAGAAAAGTCACTCTACCGAGGGCCAGACGTCTCAATAGGAGACTTCCTTAACCGATTTCTACTTTAAACGAAAATCGGAAAGCTCATTCGAACTCTGGAATAATGCTCAGAGTCACTCAAAAGTGCCAAAAGGCTTCCTAGAGAGTGGTAGGAGTGAAAAGGTGTGAAATTTAGAGGAATGGAGGCTCCTATTTATAGGGAACCAAACCAGGAAAAAGTGGACGACCGTCTGGACTTAGTGGAGGACCGTCCATGGCAAAAAGTGTCCATGGACGACCGTCCATGTAGTGTGGACGACCGTCCATAGCCATAAAGTTGGCATGGACGATCGTCTAACTGTCCTGGACGACCATCTGTTGTCTCCGATGGATTTTCCAATTTTTATTGCCTCTAAAAACCCTTCCTATCTTAAATGGAACCTAGAAAAAGCTACTAGGGACTTAATAAAGTCTTGACCATCTTCGAAATGGGCGATCTCTGGCTTTATTGGAGAGCCAAACAAGATTTGGGGTCTACAACTGCCCTCCCTTCACCCGACCAATTGACTATGGGTTAACGTACCATGAGGTTGATTGGCGGGTGAAGGAGTTAACCCTCTTGTGTTATAATCGCGCAGCGAAATGTTTGCGTGAACGGACAAAAACCAAGAGGGGGGGTGAATTGGTTTCTTAACAAAAATTAGGTTTTAAAAATTTTCCCCAAATTTTACCGATTAAAATGTTGTGTAAACGTAAATAGGATAAGGATAGAGTCTTACACAGAAGATTTATACTGGTTCGGATCAAAAGACCCTATGTCCAGTTGCTAATCACTCAAACAGAGGATTAACACTGTCACTATAATCAAAGTTATTACAAACAGATAACAATGGAAAGGATAGAGTAATGAAAACATCTCTCTTGAGTCACACAAGGGATGAAGAACAACTTTCCCTAGAGACGGCACAACACACAATCCACCAAGAACTCCACTTAGTGATTCTTATCGCTTCTAGCCCACACTAGGTTCCAAAAGCCCCTTTTTCCTCCAACAAACAGTTCTCTGGCAATCACAACTCTCAACTTTTGTTTGAAAAAAGGTTGTTCAATTTTCTGAGAGCCTTAGAGAACCTTAAGTAGATGAATTAGGGTTTGGGAGATGGGGATTTTCGAAACTTGGTGTATTGGGACTAGGGTTTTCGAAAGTAGGTTTAATTTGAAGTTCAAAATGCAAATCTGACTAAAATAATCGATTATCTCAAGTTTTAATCGATTATTATATAGTCAAAATCAACAGGGGCCCTCAACGCACTATTTTAATCGATTATTTGCCCTGTTAATCGATTATTACAGAGAGCTGATACAGAAAATGGTTTTTCTCTCTATAATAATCAATTATTTGACCAT